CTCTCTACACCAGGCTAGTCCTTAACTGTATCTTGGAATAGAGAGTGCTTTGACGTTCTTGGTTTGTTGCTCATCTTTGAAAAAATTAATTCCATCAAATACCTCACAGTAGTTGACTAGTGATTTTTTATTTGTGACTGTTTCTCATATTTTCATGTGAAGATCAACGCTTCACATACTGAGTATCTTTATTACTGGTGAGTTGAATTACTGAGGACAGAAGAAACTGCAGAACAAACAAATGGGTCAGCAGCAGGTCTGTCTGCAGCGTTTGTACTCGTCTGTAGAGAACACATTGTTAATGCTCCTGGACTTGGAAGAAGAAAAAGAATACAGAGCTGCATTAGGGGATGCCACTGGACTCAGCCATGAATCACAACTCTGCAACCTGGGCCAGTCTCCTCATGTGTTTCAGGTTTTCTGTCTTCTCTTGCAAAGGGGATGTGTTAAGCTATTCTTCCTGGAGGTGTCATGAACAGTACACTGGCTGGATGTTTTTAGGTGTCACAGATATTAAATTGGTCAGGCATAGTTGCATTTCAGATGTCCCCTTCACTGGTGCCTACACCCCACTGACTGGTGTAGGTGCCCTATTCCATATCCTCTATGCCCATGGAACATTGTCTCTGTCACAACACCCATCATAGTTGTTTGCCTTTGCTTGCACTTCAAGCCGCACCCTCTAGACTGTAAGTTCCTGAAAATCAGAATCATTTCATCTCTGTATTTCAAGAACATCGCATGGTGGCTAGTGTAAAATAGAACCTTAAATTTTGCTGAGTTGGGCTGGTACTGTGGCATGGTTGTTGAAGCGGTTGGCTGCAATGCCAGTATCCCGTATGGGCTCCGATGCAAGCTCTGGCAGTGCCACTTTCAGTGCGGCTCCAAGCTAATGTGCCTGGGAAGGCAACGGAGGATGGCCCAAGTGCTCGGGCCCCTGTACCCATGCGGGAGACCTGGAAGAAGCACGTGGCTCCTGGCTTTAGCCTGGCCCATCTCTGGATCTCTGGATGTTGTGACCATTTTGGGGGATGAATTAGTGAATAGAAGGTCTCCCTTCCCCCCTCCCTCCCTCCTTTTCTCTCTTTCTCTAATTCTACCTTTTTTTTTTTTTTTTGGACAGGCAGAGTGGACAGTGAGAGAGAGACAGAGAGAAAGGTCTTCCTTTTGCCGTTGGTTCACCCTCCAGTGGCTGCCGCAGCCGGCGCACCACACTGATCCGATGGCAGGAGCCAGGCACTTACCCTGGTCTCCCATGGGGTGCAGGGCCCAAGCACCTGGGCCATCCTCCACTGCACTCCCGAGCCACAGCAGAGAGCTGGCCTGGAAGAGGAGCAACCGGGACAGAATCTGGCACTCCGACCGGGACTAGAACCCGGGGTGCCGGCGCCGCAAGGCGGAGGATTAGCCTAGTGAGCCGCAGCGCCAGCCTAATTCTACCTTTCAAATAAATACATCTTAAAGTTTTGCTGAAGGACTCTTAAAAAAAAATGTTGGGCAATCCTAATACTTTAAGACTAATGCAGTAGTATCTCCAGTAGATTATTTATGGGAGAAATTAGCTTTGCTTTATATTTCCAGCAAAAGTGAAAGTGCATTTTAATATTTTACAGGACCTGAATTATAGCCTAATGCCACAATTCAGGGATAGAAATATTTTGTGTTTTCCTTGGGTAGGAAAACACTCAAGCAAAGCAAAGCAGTATGAGTGTCTGAAATACAGGGCTAGAAGGGTAAAATGAGCGTGGAGAAATTCAAACTAAGGATTTTTAATTCAGAAGTGATTTCAGAAACACTTAGCTAAAAATGCATCAGGGTTGGCTGTGCTGCTTAGTGATTAAAATGCTCTTAAAGATACCTGTGTCCCCTATCGGGGTACTTGGATGTAAGACCTGTCTCTGGCTCCTCACTGCAGCTTCCCGGTAACGCACATCCTGGGAGGCACCAGGTGATGGCTCAAGTAAGAGGCTTCCTGCCACCTACATGGGACATCGAGGCTGAATTCTGCCTCCTGGCTCTGGTCTCGCCCACTCTAAGCCATTGCAGGCATTCAGGGAGTTACTCCACAGAGGGGAGCTCACTCTCTGTGTTTATCTGTTTCTTTCTCTGTGCTTGCCTCCCATATAAATAAAAAACAACAAAATATAAAATACATCAAAATCTAATAAAGGAAATAGAACACCATCCCATGGGTCTGCATTCTATTTGACCCAATGTGGCAGGTTCCCCACGGTTAGGCTTGACTCACTCTGCAAGCCCACCTTCAGGTCATACTCAGGATTTGAACAGAATAACAATGCAATGTCATAGGGGAGAACCCAGCATTGTCTTAGAATATTCCTTGTAGGGATGGACAGAGGGCTTTGCCCACCATATAGAAAAGCATAGTACAATTCTCTGTTTAGTGCCTTAGTTTTTTTCTGGAAAACTCTCTCAGGTCTCCAGCACCACAGGTCTTCTCTCTCCCTACCAGGACTAGCAACTTCCCATGGAGAGGAGCCACCCAGTTCTGGCTCTCGACCTTGTTATTCACTCGCAGCTGGCAGACACGACCATGGAGAAAGCAGCTCAGTGGCTGTGTTACTGCACTTTCCAACTTTGTCTCAGAGTTAGAAAAATAATTGACACTGTGATCAAGACCATCTGTGGATTATTAGTGAATATTTTATGAAAGAGTTCTGACAATGGCCTCGTATTCCTCTCCCCTCCCCGCTCCTTGCCATTGTCTTTGCTTTGATCCCTCTCCTCTGGTACCCCAGCAAATGTAATTAAATGAGTCTCTGGGTCTTGAGCCAGCAGTTCTTTCCATGGCTGACCTGACAAACATGATTTTCCTGCTTCAACATGGCTGTTGGCATCTCAGGCTGCATCCCAAGCATCTTATCAAGGTATCTGTACCAAGAGAAACCAATTTCTGTCTCACATGCTTCTACTGTTTGAAAACGTAACATTTCTCCAAATCATTACCTAAGAAACTGGAAAACCAAGAGAGGAAAGGTGCTTCATGTTCATCATGTAGTGCTGTCTTTATGATAGGCCGTGTTTACTCTGCTCAATTCCTCTTCCTGGGACCTCCGTTGCTACCCTCTGTGCCACAGCCCTGGGCTGCAAAAGTTCTCTTCCTGAAAGGCAAAGCCCTTTTGTTACTGCTTTCTTTCAATTGCTGCCTTGAAGCCACTAAAAAGTTGAACTACTGTAACATACATATCAATCCCTGAGTAACGTGTCACTAATTGTTTATCACTTCTTTCTTTGTCACATCTGGACAGTCTTCTCCCACTTGCCCTCTTTCACTGCTCAACAGCACTGTAGCCTGATCACGCAAATGGCCATGAAGGAGTCTTTGTGATGGCCACGGGAGGTATTGTCAGACACAACCATCAATCTCTCCATCATCACCTCCTTTATGGGTGGTAGCAGGTGGAGCTTGCACTGCAGTTCCTCATCATCATTAACATATTTATGTACGAGCATATAAAGGCAGCCTAGGGATTTTACAGAACTGTGGAAGAGCGTGGTTCATGCCTTTGAGGACATGAACATAAAAAGAAACCCAAGGCTGCTACCATATGCAATGCTTAATCACACGCTATGGTGACCACTTGCTGATGCTACTATACCATATTTCCCTAGCATTCATGCTTTCGAATGACTGAAACAGCTTCTGCCAAGTTATGCAAAAACAAGTAAATGAGGAGTCTTTCCCAAGATGTTCCGACATTACTGCTACCAGATTCATCTAATAGAAATGACTCCTTGAGGAAGTGTCACTTGCCTAGTGGGGAAAACACTTGATTTGGCAGCAATGTTGAAACATTCGATATGAATCATAAGCATTTACTGCAACAGAATCGAGGAATCCTGTTTCCCCCTTCAAAATCAATAGAAAAATTGCCACTTATACCAGGCATTCTTTGTCTTTGTGAAGACAAATGACAATACATTTTGTTCCAGGGTAGTTGAGACATTTCTCAACTAGCAAAGTGGTTTAATCCTCAATTTTATGTGTTCAGGTAAAAGGGCCTTTTTGCATGTCAGAGGAGAGAGGCAATATTTTTCATAAATAAATAACATACTAACTTGATTGTTCGTTTTTAAAAGCAAATCCTTGGGAAAGCATTGCATTTCTGACAGTAAAAATTAATGTTTCTGTCCCCCAATCTTTACTTAAAGTCATGTATTAAATGCTGCAGTGGTAGATATTTTCTCAATTGCAGGTTATATGCAGAAAAAAATTTCCATTCATGAAGTTCTTCCTAACACATTAAAAAGAGTTTCAACCTGGTCAGTATTTTCACTTTGGAATTCTAAGTGCTTCTGTTATTTTTCATCTGGATGAGTAATCTTGAAGGCTTCATAGTTGAAAAATTCCAGTTGAGTAACTGTTCTGCTGTCACAGTGAGTTTCTCCTTTCCCAGTAGAGATGCCATAATTCCTTCTGGCCTTATGGAAGACTCATAGGCATCCTGACTTTCATTGAGTAAAAGCACAGGCGTGCATGTTAGTGTGTGTGCAGAAACCAGGCAGACAGTGAAACTCCATTGTACTACTGTACAATGTCCTCTTGCACAATGTACTATTGATGTTAAGACATAGTGAAGCAGGAACCTGCACACACAAGAGCTCAGACATGTCAGCCATGGGAGCTCTCAAGTTCACAGAAGCAGCAGACTAAAGTAGGAAGTGTACACACTGGGCATTTCACCTGGGTTTAGCAGAGCCAGGAGGAGGGTCTGGGAAGAAGCCAAGCGTTAGGACTTCTGTGAAGCAGTAGCTGACGCTGCAGGAGAAATATGTTAGTACTATGCCATTGCTTACTATGGACTGGGTCTCTTGATTACACTCCTGAGCACCGTGGACTGGTCTGACAGGCAACAATAGCAGTTTCATGTGATTAACAATGGGCAGGCCAGTCCTGGGACACAACACTTTAAATGCACATGAGACAAGAGAATGACTCTGGATTATTAATATTCCAGTAAAATTTCCACAACAAGGAGTAGGAGGAATGCACACGTTTTAATAATCTTAGAAAGACCAACTTAGCTGATATCAATATATATTTGGAGAGTATTGTATTTTCTGCTTTTTTATCTGTATCTGTTTAATTGTCTCGTACAAAAAACAAAGCCAAGCATGTGGTGAAGAGAAGTGGGCATTTACATTCAGACAATTATATATTCTTACAAATGTGTTTAATTATAACTGCTTCCAAAGTATCCCAGATTTTCAAAAGTTTATTTTAAGTTTGAAGACTAGACAAGGTCATACTGATTTTACAACATCCTACGTGAGTTAAGTATATATATACAAAGAAAAAAAAAACACTGGAATATTACACAGCTTGAATGTTTGCAAAGGTTATTGTGTCTCAGTTATTTGTGTACCTAATGACACGCCAGACTCCAGCATTGAGTATCACATTTCATAATTCATTGACTAGCGAAGACACAGTCCTAAGTACCTCAACTTTTCAAAATTCACACCAATCTTCATGAACTCACTCAGAAAGAGAAAGTCGACCCTACAATTACAATTACTGGTGATGATAAATGTTCTGAACAGGACACAGATTAAATGGAAAGATTAAAATTTTGATTTCATAACGGATAAGGTTAACATTGTTACTTAATACAACGAAGACTAGATGATTCATTTGTGTTTTCTGCTTTGAGCTCTTGTTGTAGAGTGTTTAAGGAGAACAAATCTGCTTCAGTTTGATGTCATTGACACAAATGACAAAACGCTACTTCTCAGTATCCTTTCACAATAATTACCAGCATTTCCGTGTGTGGGAATTCCTGTGGTGTCATTCCTGACACCACAGGACAAATGAATATCCCACTGGGCTCACGCTGTTGTGAAGAGCGCATAAGGAAGAGAGAAAATGCACAAGCATGAGAAAACCATTTCAGTGTCTTTCTAGAAGCTAACAACCATGATTTTCATGGACTCCCTTGGAAATCTATTTTTTTAAGTTATCAATAGAGAAAAATTGAAAGGCTCATATGAAACCATGAGTAATTTTGAAAAATTAAGTCATTAAGAAGGCATTGTTCAGAACGTGCAGGATAAGCTCATCAGAAGGATGGAGCAAAATCTGCAAAGAACAGTGCCTTGGAAGAGTGGGACCCTGAGCCCGAAAGAGGTCAGGAGCACTGGCCAGACAGCAAGTAGGTCTCTGGTTCTGGCCATGAGTAGTTAGTTACCTTTCTAGTGTGCTTTAATCCTCAACCAATTAAACATGTCTCGGATTCCCAATTTTAAAGTTACCTAAATGAGGAAATACTGAGAATGTAGCAATTTTGGCTTTGATGGAGAAAACGGATCACCGTGTGAGAGGCTTCCTAACAACAATTTCATAAAGAGAAGCTGAAGCTGAAAGCATGTGAGCATGGAACCAACCTGTGGCCATTTTGCTTTTATTAACAATCCCAAATGGGATGGACTTTCTCTTGAATTCTCTGCTATGGTTGAAGACCACTCCATATATACATCATCAAGAAACGCCGGGAACACGTGGACAGACAAGACAGTAACAGTCTAGTGGCTTTTGTTATGCAGCACAAATACTAAAGGAAAAGAAAAACTTAGCAGTTTTGCACAGGACCTTATTATTTCGTACACATACCATCCTTGCTTTTCCAGGACCCTTAATTTAAAACTCCAAGAACTCTTTGTCTAAGCCTTATAAAATAAATACTTATAAAAAGCTATAAACTAGATGAGAGGATTTTTATGGAGGTGATGCGAGTTTTAATTCAAGAGACATGTCAATGAAATCTCCATTATCAATAACAAAGCGCTAAGATAGTTGCTTATTTTTTTTCAGAACCTTTGAAGCCAAATACTTAGAAATCAATTTTTCGACTTGAAAATGGTTTTACACTTTGTCATAAGTACATCCTCTACTTTGTACCAAACAAACAAACCTACACAGTATGCTTCCTGGGAAACAAGCACTGGTTTCAGATCTCAATAAAATCTTCCTTTCATGGGAAATGTGGAGATGAGCAAAGAAATGATAAGAGTGCTTGGGGAAGCTATAGTGCACTATGTGAACAGTGGTTTGCTAAAGTTTTTCTGAACAAAGAATTCATGATGTTAGTACTTTAAAGTAAATATAACTGTGTAAATGCTATCGAAGCTAAGGTTTAAATCTGAAGGGATATAATACTGTTAAATGACAGTATGGGATTCTTCATAAGGAAAGTACTTGGAAGTTACACAGTAATAACTTCCCTTAAAATTAAGTGGGAGATTCGCTTTACTGATATTAAATACAGAGCAATCTACTGCTATCCAGTCATGTTCCATACATAAGTAAAGCATGATACTTCTTTTAGCAGATAATGGAAAATTTCTTTTGGAAAAAATATGGACTTCTTCAGGCAAAATATAAAGAAAACAGAGTGAAACCAAGAAGTCCTAAATCTCTAGAAGCAATGAAAGTAAAATGAGAATTATCATAATTAGTTACAGGTTCAAAAATCTTTCATAAACACTGATGGCATTGGGTAGGCACTAGGAAACAATTAGGATAATGTCGTATCATTATGGAAGAAAAAAACTTATTGCTAACAGTGCAGTATTCCTTTATAATAAATGGTGACTATGGACTGCGAAAGCTCCATCAACTCCTATCTGATAGCAGTGAGATACCTTTAACCTTTGCTCTCAGAAGAAGGCTACTTTCTCTAGTATATTTCAACCAATGTGAACAATTCAGAAAATGAGAAAACTGAGTCATAATTAATACGATCTGAATAAAAAAATCAAAGGACATTGAAAAGGCAGGCTTAGACCCCCTTAAAAAGACAGTTAGTGGCCTACCATTATTTGAGTACTTTTTCAGGAAAAACAACAACAAACTGCCATTCTGTTTCCTACAGACGTTGCACAGTTCATTCCATGGAGACAGCGGGGGCAGAGAGGACGGGGCTGTGGAATGCGGCTCCTCACTCCTCCTCCGTGCAGCCCAGCAGCTCTGACCGCAGGGTGATCCTGCCGTACCAGGACCAAGGCAGGATTCTTATGTGCCGTGCATAGATGGGAGGGTTGATGACGTTTTTTCTGTGGGTGTCATTGTCAAAGTTGCCCTGGAAAACCTAAGCAAAAAGAGCACACATTGTCAGTCATGTGGCCATCTCCTTTGGAATTATTTTTAATTATATTGGGAACACTTTTGGCACACATGGGAACTGACACATTCCTTTTCTTCTCTAAACATACATTGGTTGAACTCTGTAATTAACACACAATTATTCTTAGGTGTTTAAATTTTAACTGAAAAGTGATCCCTGTTAGGAATTTGGAAAACATTATGCTGAGTGAAATAAGCCAATCCCAAAGGGACAAATACCACTTGTTCTCCCTGATCGGTGACAACTAACTGAGCACCAAAAAGGAAACCTGTTAAAGTGAAATGAACACTATGAGAAACGGTGACTTGATCAGCCCTCACCCTGACTGTTGATGAGCAATTTGATATGTTATCCCTCTTAGTATTTTTTTTTTGTTTGTTCTACTTAATACTTTTGGTTGAATACTGTAATCAATACACAATTCTTCTTAAGTGCTGAAACTTAACTGAAAAGTGATCACTGTTAAATATAAGAGTGGGAATGAGAAGGAAGAGATGTGCAATTCGGGATATGCTCAAGCTGACTTACCTCAAACGGTAGAGTTAGAAACATACCAGGGGATTCCAATTCAATCCCATCAAGGTGGTATGTAGCAATGCCATCTCACTAGTCCCAGTGATCAATTTCTGTTCACAATTGATCATAATGATAGGACTAAGAACCAAAGGGATCACATAAACAAGAATAGTGTCTGCAAATACTAGCTGATAGAATCAAAAAGGGAGAGAATGATCCAACATGGGAAGTGAGATACACAGCAGACCCATAGAATGGCAGATGTCGTAAACAGTTTCCTTTAAAATATCACTTTAAATCAAACTGCACATTGGTGCTTAATTTGAAGAGGCAGATGAGGCCTGGGTTGTACGAAAGAGGAATAGATCTATCAATTTTCTACGCCTGTCTGTCTTAGTGTATTTTAAAATGAAACAGATATTTGTCTTCGGCTGTGACCTGGGCTGACACTGGCCAGGCAGCTCCTTCTAGATGCTCTTTTCCAAGGAGTGACTCAGAGATCCAACTGCCTGTAAACCACAGCCATTGCCTGGACGCACGGCCTCCCTCTTCGCCAAGGGAGAAAGCCTGGGTGGACGGTGCAGGTTTTTTGTTGTTGTCGCTGTTTTTCTTTGAACAAGGCATGGAAGCATTTGTACATAATTTCTCCAGGTATTTGAGCCTCACTAATTATATGACGCAACCCCAAACGCAGAGGAGGCTTGGAGATGGAGAGGACCACAGGAATATCTGGTGACCAGCCGCAGCGTCTGCCACAGAGTCCTTTGCTTGCACAGAGCTCTCTACCAGCCCATCCCAAGACACGCGAACCTACCTGTGCTGGTTTTGAACTAGGTTTTTCTTCTCCTTGGCTTTTTCATGTGTTAAGTCCTCGATTCCTACTGTTACGTTGTGATCACAGTGACATATCCTGACACTTTGTATGTCATGCCTGGTCCCCTTTTCTTTTGTGAAAAAGCTTTTTAGAGGTTTTTATAGCTATCTTCCTACTCTAAGATGTCTTCATAAAAATGCTGACAAGTGCTTACTACAGGAAAAGAAGCTCAACACAAGTAGTGGAATTCCAATGGAAGTGGCATTATATTGTACATTTCTTTGGGGGGGAAACTGAGGTATTTGTAATTAGTTTTTGTCTCAAGATTTTTATAATTTCCCCTATAGATTCTAGTTTCATTCCCCTCCTCCCTCCCTTCCCCTCCCCTCACTTCCCCTCCCCTCCCCTCCCTTCCCTTCCCTTCCCTTCCCTTCTTTCCTTCCCTCCTCCCTTTCTATCTGTCTCTTTCAGAGTAACAAAGAGAGATGCAGTCAGAGAAAGTGATCTTCCATGTACTGATTTCATTCCCTGAATGACTGCAATGGCCACAGTTGGACCAGGCTGAAAACCAGAGCCCGGAACTCCATCCGGGTCTCCCATATGGCTCATCCTTTGCTGATTTCCCAGAAGCACTAGTAGGGAGCTGTATCAGAAGTGGAGCAGCCGGGACTCAAACCAGTGCTAGTCTATATTGACATTTTCATTTTAGCTCAACCAGGATAGTGAAAATCTCCTCGAGGTTTTCACTTTTAACCTTAAGAGGCATCTTATAATTGGGACATAATTATCTCTCGTGTTTGGGATCAAAACATATATAGCCAAAGAGAGACCTGAAAATAAAATTCCCAAACAAAAAAGAAGGTCATTCATCCAGATCTTTGAGTATTCTGAAATGAAAGGGAATAGGCATAAAATGGCCTACTTGAATGATCTGATTCAATCTTACATACTCACAAAAGGTCTCCTGGGAAAAGAAAAATTAAGATTTTTCTTCAGTGTAAGACAGCACGGCACTGATCAGCAGATGCAACAGACGGGATAGCGTGAGTAGCCTTTAGGTTGGTGCCCCAAGTGCTGTCCCCATGTCATGGGGACATAAGGTTTCAACGTGACACAAAATACCTGTATCTGAAAGGTCAGTTTTAGTTAATAAATATCTGCTGGAAACAATATTGAGCTGTGTGAAGACTCAGGTCCATCATCCCAGCATTATCTCAATTCATGTTCATTTAAGTAGGCATTTTACCCTGAGCCTGGCTCTGGCTTGCACTGCCCATGGAGGAAATCGCCCCGGGTTGAGAGGTGTTGCTAAGTGAGAGTGCGTCTCTTAGGACAAGCTCACAGGTGTGGGCAGCAGTGTTGTGAACGTTCACTAGACTTCTTCAGAGAGGTGCTCACTGTGATGGGTAGGAGTCCCACTCTGTTTCCAGACACCGGTCTGGCATAGTATGTCAGATTTAAGTGCTCCCCTGGGAATATGGTGTTAAAATACAAAAAAAAAATTTTTTGTCTGATTATGTAGCCATGCAGGAGTACTTGGTGTATATAAATGGGAAAACAGAATGCTCATTCAAAAATTTTCATTGGAAGATCTGTAATAGTCTAAAATAGAAGGTTATGTCACCATTCGGAAAGAAAAGACAGGAGAGAGGATTTTAAGTCTCTGTTCTTTGCAACAGGCTTCAGTAAGGAATCATAAACTCAAGAAGCCTTAGTTGAATTATTAGCTAATAAAAAGAATGCATATATAGAAACTACATCAGTTCTGAAATGGCACACAACCATGAAATTCCTGATTTAATATGTGAAAGTCATAGATAGTAGCAATTTCTTTCTGAAAGTGAAGTTTCATAGGAAAGGATAACTAATAAAACAGAAGTATCCACAGAAAAATGACCAAATCTACATTGGAGTCACTCAAACCATGATTTCCAAGCGCTGAAGGTAAACGCGATGGTGAGGGCCTCTCGCTGACGACACAGAACACACACAGCACACACTGATGGTTCTAGGTTGACCTGTTGTGCTTGCAGAGTAAGCATGGAGCAATGTGCTGTGTTCTCATTCCCAGTGCAAGGCATTTGCTGCTCGAAGGTACTATTTCGGTGCTTTTTTTGTTTTGTGTTTTAACCTGGCATAGGAATGTAGACACAGTGGAAATGTATTTCAGCAGCTCTATGTCAGTGTGTAAGGTTCCCAGGAAATTGCTTTCACATGCATGCTTGGGTGATGGGAGCACCTCTACTGAAACTGACGTTGGCAAAGACTCATGGAGAACATTCAGTCTGCATAGAGATGGGAAAACGTTGCGTATGAGAAAGATAAAGTCTGATCAGAATTCTATTTAACGATGACAGGTTTGCTGAAGTATTCAAACACCATGCCGCTAAGGGCTCTCTTGGGTTTTTCCTAACATACGGGGCTTCAGGAAAAAAAGCAGTTGGGGTCCGTTGGAGAAGCTTCCGTAATTGCCACCCAAGAGAGGTAAGAGAGAACAATTCAAGTCCCTCAAGGTGGTTGAGATCTTGGATTTTTGACTTCTATTGTTAGCTCTCCCCTGGTGCTAGTTGAAATTCAAATTAGATTCTACTCTCAACACACAGTAAGGATGAGATGAACTGTAACAATTAAACGTCGTACTCAGCAACATTTGCATATTTTCTGTAAGATCAGACTTGTGTATTCAGGCCAGTGGAGGGGACATCAATAGGAGGCCACCAAGGATTATGGCAAGAGGCAAGTTACTGTCTATGACACAGAGAAAGGTGGAGTATCTCAGCTCCCTACAGCAGTCAGCACAGGGCCCCCGATGTCATGGAGCCACTGAGGGGTTTCTTGCACAAACTATTTCTTTGCAGAATCATCTGGTTGTGATGATGTACTTCCTTTTATTTGTCCTAAACTTAGTTCATCAAGAGCTTCTGAAAAGCTTTAATTCAATGCAGTTCTAACCCTTTGGAATGCATATACATATGATTTGGATAGGAGGTATTGTATGAAGTTAGATACATAGCCTCTGAGCTCCTCAAGACTAGAATTAGTATTTTACTGAGCTCTCAAGAGACTGTGGACTTGATCCCTGTGGCTTTCCGGCTGCTCCTGTCCAGATTGTATAGTTCTCCTTCAACACGTGGAGACTAGACCTGCATTTGGGATTTCAGATATTGCAGAATTAGAAGTATTCAATCAAGCTTTTTAAAATTCTCTCTATTGTTTGCATCTGTCTTGTTAATGGTTCAAGCCTGCTACTGACTTTATTGCCAGTACCCAGACACTGATCGCATGTTTGGAAGTGCAAGGGTAAAAATGCATGTCCCTAGGGCACTGTGTGTGTGTGTGTGTAGGGTTGTGGCTGAATGATAAGAATGCTTTACTTAGCAAATGTAACTTTGATTATTTATCCTTCCATCCAGAGTGTTTACGGAAAAGTAGACGAGAAACTGATCCCTGAGATATCCTGCTTTTATTGAATTTTACCCATAAAAACGAAAAACCCCAGAGTTTGAAGAAATTCAGAACTGCTTAGCAACCACTTCTCTCTAATATTTTTTCCTATCTGTTGTCTCAACTTCATTTCCTTTTTAAAAATATTTATATTTTTAAATTTTTAATTACTTTTTAACAGATTCAACAT